GTGTGTAAGACATAAAAAACATTAAAAGCATTACAAACCTCAGAGCTTCAGTAGTGTAATAATGGGTGCTAATGGGGTCTCCTGCCAGGTGTTTGAGGCCAGATAAAGCAGTTCTGTTCGGTGCTGTCTGGGTCACAGTGAAGTATCTTGCTGTGTCTGTGTGTGCGTGTATGTCGAAGTGTCTGTGCATTATGAGGTGATTTGCCTCTCAGACTCTACCACCATCACACAGCAACTGGAGCAGAAGAAAACGCCTCGCAGGATCCTCAACCAACCACATTCACTCACAGCAAGAATCACAATTTCATCTGAATGTCATGTCAGTTTTTTGCATTTTTGTTTTAATGATCTAAATTTAACATACCAATTAGTCACTTCCTGACAGACGGCACCAGATAAGATACCTGGTATCTAAACCGTGAGGGTTTTTTTTCATACTTGATCTGCGATGGTTTTAAGTGCGTCTCTGGCTGTGTCTCAAGTCTTCTTTTAGCCCAGGTTGAAGTGTGTCTGCCCCCGTGCTTTTAGCTATATTAGCTTTGCTTGCTCAGCCTATTCACAGTGCAGGCATTGAATGTAATTGGCTTGACTTTTGGCATGAATGCCAGTCTATTTCAGCCCTAGCTGTGCTGGATTGGCATTGTGACGCTGAAATAGACTGGCATCCAGGCCCACTCTCCTACTGAATTAGCTTAGCTATTTCTACACCATACTACGATAACTATAATATCCCAATGATAACTCTGTCCATTTTAAGCCCAGCATTTAAGCAAAATAAACAATTAAATAACCATTTTTAATAGTGATAGATTTAAATTCAAATTTTAAGTTTACAAAAATGCATTACTCATTGTGTATTATTTATGTTACAGAAAGAAATAACTTAATTTGACTTATGTATTCATAATATATAATAATCAAATTCAAATACAAGCATAAGAGACATGTTGAGCATACGAGAAAAAGACACATGAAATAGTCTTACCGGCCCCGAACCTTTGAATGGTTGCCGTCAGAATGAAAGTCCAAACTGCTGATAAAAACATCACTGTAATCTCCAGTCCATCAGTTAACATCTTGTGAAGTCAAAAGCTGCATGTTTGTAAGAAACAAATCAATCATTAAGACGTTTTAAGGTGAGTACATTTTAAGCAAATTAGCATTTTTGGGTAAACCATTCCTTTACTGCCTACATATCTTGAATGCACTTAGTTGCTTTGGGTTAATGCATCTGCCAAATGTGCCTATGTAAATGTCACCATGACTGCTGATGCACACAACAAATGACACCATTTCCCTTTTTGTTTATGCTGGGAAGAAGTTGCATGCATTTCATAACATTGCATCATTGCAGTACCTGAAACTCCTGGCAAGTATTAGAGCTGGTTCGTATTTTATTCTCATTTAGAGTGAATCTGGCTTTTTTATAACTCGGGAAACCATCTGGCAGCTGTCAAATCGGTCTCTCATATCTGTTCATTCTCTTTCAGACTAGTATGAGGCTGTTATGATACAAAAATGTTGTCAATACTGTCCACAGCAGAGTCATTCATAAATGTAAAGAATGAAAATATTTATTTTGTGATTTCAGATGCTATTTCCGACGATGCCGTTCGCTACCAGTATGTTAAGAAGAAAGGCTATGTCCGCCTGCAAACAAACAAAGGAGACCTGAATGTGGAGTTGCACTGTGATAAGGTAACGTGAACACTAGCACAAACCTCAGTTGTTCTATTCTGTTCTGTGTAACATTTCTTGTCATCATGTGGGCTCATGATCTAAATGTGATTTTTCTGGCTCTGTTTGACACCTTGTTTGCTGTCACAGTGTCAAGGCCAGATCTGACTGTGGTCCACTTTTGGACACTTAAGTCATGCTTTCATTGCATTAGATACAAAACATTAAAGTAGGTAGCATCTGCAGACAGTTGTTGCTAGAGCTTTTCTCAAAAGTAACTCAAATATTTTTAACCAGCTGGTCTTAAGGTCATGTTTTTGGATATATGAAATCAGTTCCAATCAAGTTTACACAGGTGTTCAAGCAGATTAATAATATATCAACAGTAAACATGTTTCACAAAGTTTGACGACTGGTAGATATTTTCATTTATTTATGTTTAGGATTAGTAAGATTGTTTTACAGATATTAATACTCACCAAGGATGCATTAAATTGATCAAAAGTGACAGTAAAAGCATTTATAATGTTGCAAAAGATTTCTAAACATTCAAGCTAAAACATTCAGATTTGCCATCACAGGAATAAATTACATTTTAAAATATATTTAAGCAGAAAATCATTATTTTTAATTTAAATAATATTTCACAATATTACTGTTTTTACTATATTTTGATCAAATAAATCTAGCCTTGGTAAGCAGAAGACGCTTTAACATTAAAAACTATTAACATCGACTCTTATGTTTCAATGGTAATTTGTTTATTTCATATTTTAAAATCTAACAAATTTGTTTGTTTGAAAAGTTGTATATTTCTATAAAATAAATGGTACTTGTTTGATATTTTATATAGTTAAATTTTGTAAATACATTTTTAATTGTGGTTTAAAGGTATGATCAAATTAGCAAAAATTCTGCAAAAAATGTCCATTGTTTATTGTCAATATTGTAGTAATGCATAAGCACCTCTCACACAGAGGTTACTTTCAAACAAAGCAGCTTTCTGTTGGTCAATGCAGTGAATTCACATACGGCATATATACAATTCAATTCCAATTCACACTAGCTTATAAAAACACAGACCTGCTCAGATATTTCTGGAGTGAACAGAGATGTGGTAGAGGTGTGTATGTTTAATGTCCTTGCTCTGTGTGTGTGTGTGTGTGTGTGTGTGTGTGAGGAGTGGTCTAAAGGCCATCTTGTCTGTACACAATGTATAATTCATGCGTTCAGAGTGCTCAATCTCACTGACACACTGCAACTGCTGACCTACATTGATTGACTCGCTCTATTTTCTTTATTTCTTGTTTTTACGTCGTCTTGTTTTTCTTACTCTGCTCTGTTATAGTTGCCTGTTAGTTTTTGCTGTTAATGTCAGATTCTTTCTCTTTGTCTTTTTCTAATGTGTTTTCTCTCTTCTCATTTATTTTCCTTGATGTGCTCTGTATCCCACTGTGCTTGTAAAATCATCCCTGCCATAAAACACTTCCTCTGAAAAATTGTGTTCGTTCTGGCCTTGCGCTGGCGATAAAACTTACCCATAGTTCTCTCTTCTCAGCTGAGCAGATGCAGTGTCCCTGTTCTTATTTATGTGAGAGCGTGTGCCAGGCTCTCACTCCTGGGTCAAAGCTGCGCCATAAATCCCTTTATATCTATCATTTAGTGTTTCACTTTAACACAGTGCAGGGAAATTGGTGAGCTTTGTCTTTACTGACTTTTTAATCACATGCATAAGATTCCATATCATTTGTTGTGTTTTAGCACTATTTTATCACTTTCATGAACAACTTGGCTCAGTCTTTAATTGATGCAGTGCACAAAAGCAGCAGACGCCCTTTACAAGGCCACAGGATAAAAGACTTCATTTGGTTAGAAAATTAATTGAATTTTAGAATTAAAGCTTAGGGAACATATTGTGAAAACCGAAGTACTTTGTCCTATTCCAGGTTTGCAGAGTCAGCTATAAAATGCATCCTCTAGTAGCGTGTGTGTGTGGGGTGTGTGTGTGTGTGTGTGTGTGTGTGTGTGTGTG